TTTTACTGTGTGACTTTATTTCACAGCGCAAGCAACTTTATTCCACCCTCTGTTTTAATTTTGCATTACTCATTTTAACACAAATAATACACCAAGACATCACTTCTTCAAGTCAAAGAGATCTAGAGACTTTAAATATTTGTTCGTTAACTTATTACCACGTTAGAAATTTTATCACTCTTTTCAAATATGGAGTTTGAAACTGTAAACATTTGTGCATGTCGCATTCAGTTTACATTTGTAACTGGCCAAATTCGTCATTAGAGTGAATTATACAGCTACCTATGATGAATAAACATTAATAATAATCGCTCCGAGTAATAAACTGTTGATGACATGTTGTACCTACTTGATTGTACATTATGAGCCAACTTGGCAACAGTGCTTAGTGTGCTACGCCGGTGATATTTGACAGGACTATTGTCTAATTTGATGTTTTTTGGCATTTCATAGTTAGTAGAATATGAAAATGCAAATTGTTGTCTAGTATTGGAAAATTATATTATGGTTAATGTTACATTGTATAAATCAGCAACAATATATTTGTTACCAATAAGTTTGTACGTCGAGACGTCACGTCAGAAAATTATTAAAAATAGTTATGTTCCTAAATGAGATATTTTTATAACTATTTGTTCAAGCATGTTCCTTTTCAACGTGACTAGTGAATGTAAATCTTATAAGATGCTGAACGAAGATGTGAAAAGATAAGAATCAGTGGCATTTGAAAAATATTACAGATTCATTGAGCCAAAGAACTAGAATCATAATTAGCAGTAATAATAACTTATTAACTGTAATGTGTTTCTATGCAGTTCCGGCTAATAAATCCACTTGCGATTAATTGTTCACTTGCCACATGGTGACTGTAAGTTGGTATCCCGGGTATCCAGGTACATAAGCATTTATGTAGTGAAGTTTTTTCAGTCTTTGTTAGATTTCTTAACCGCAGGTTTATTTTTAAGTCTGGAAAGTCCGTAGAAAGATGTAGAACTATATGACGCACGTAGTAAGACATATATAACTTTATTATAAACAGAGATTGATTAAATAAAATTGTGACTGCCACCTTCGCCCACAAAATATGTAAATATCAAAAATTTTAGTGTTGCGTATGATATGTATATATAAACATGGATTGTTGTTTACACCTTGTTTACACAAAAGTTCCCTTGTCTTTGAAGCACAACGTATAAATAACACCCACAGCTCAGAGCAACTTTTTGTTGGGAATAAATATACTCGTATTAATTTTGAAATATATTGCGCCACTAATCATGACATAACTAGATTCCCATAATTTTGAGTATATTAGGTGAGCGTTTCTGAGATTATTGGTGAAATAAATGGGTTCATTTAATTCTTTTTACTTCCTGAAAGTAAGCTAAGGAAGTATCGTAATCTAGTCCATTGGACGACCGGCTACTTTTATGTTTTCTCGACGTTTCATGACCCCTAGAGTAAGAAAAAATAGATCTCCCGTTTCCGTCTGTCTGTCTGTCTGTGGGTCTGCTATTTGTCCGAATTTTTATTAGATATATACTCTCCGAAGCTACTGGACCGATTGTCATCATCAATCATACATCTTCAAATTTTACAGTGAGAAATATTATTTCAGTTCAGTTGCATTTGGATTATGGATCGTTGTTGAGTTTTTACCCAAAACGTAAAGATTTTTGAAAAAAAAATCAAAATTGTATAACAATATTTTGCAATTTAATTTTGAAATTGAAAACTGAATGCTCTAAAATCTTGCAAAAGTTTTAAAGTTATCGTAATTATGGTAAATCGTTCATTAAGTTTTATTCGTTTATCCCCTTCCAAAAAATTGATGACGTCATCTCAAAATTTTGCCGAATAAATCCTCTCTGAAATATGCAAAATATTATGACTATATAATTATGATTTACCAACGCACTCATACATTTTAGAATTACTTATACAGGGTGCCTAAAAAAAATAATAAATGTAAAATTGTATTGATTAAAATCAAAAATTTGGGAATTCAGTACTGTTATTATTAATATTACATTGTATCTATCCAAATTAGCATACGTGTCCTTACAATGTTAATGACGTCATCAAAAAAATGTTATGAAGAAACAACCCACTTGATTTCTCGATTTTCTAATTTTTGAATTTTTCAAATTTGCAGTTTTTGGATTTTACAGTATTTCGTTTTCGATTTTGCACTTTTCGATTTTTAAATTTTTCAACTTTTAATCTTTCGATTTTTCGATTTTTGATTTCCATTTTTTGTTTTCCAATTTTTTTATACTTATCGTTTTTACATTTTTGATTATTCAATTTTGCCATTTTGCAATTTTTCCATTTTTGGTTCGAAAAGTAGAAAAATGGAAACGTTAAAAATTGAAAAACTAAGAAACTAAAAAACTGATAAAACGGGAAACTGCAAAATCGAAAAAGTGTAAAATAGAAAAATTGCAAATTGAAGAAATGGACGAAAAATTGAAACGTTGAAGTACTAATAATCGAGAAACTTGTAAATCCAAAAATTGTAAAATCAAGAAATTATAGAATCGTCAGAATTGCAAGTCGAAAAGCTGCAAAATCGAATAATTGAAAAATTGAATAAATGAAATTCTTTTAAAATTTAATAATTGAAAAATGGAAAAATTTCAAAAAATACAATTTATTATTAGTACATTTTAAAATGAAAACTAGAAAAACTGCAAATCAAAAATTGAAAAAATGAAAAATTAAAATACACAAACTGAAAAATCTAAAAATGAAACACCAAAAAATTAAAAAATGTAAATGTTGAAAAACCGAAAAATTGCAAATCCAAAAATTGAAAATTTCACAGTGAAAGAAGAAAACATAATCAGAACTTGGAAAAAAACAAAAATTTAAATAATAAAAAATAAAAAATGGAAACGAAAAATTGCAAGTCAAAACATTGAAGAAATGAAAAATTGAAAAATCTAAAAGTTGAAAAATTAAATATCGAGAAATTGAAAAATTAAAAACTAAAAAATTGAAAAACCGAATAAATTAAAATTTTTAATATAATTATTATTACATATTTAAAATGAAAACTAGAAAAACTGCAATTCAAAAATTGAGGAAATGAAAAATTAAAATACGGAAACTGAAAAATCTAAAAATGAAAAACCAAAAAATTAAAAAATCTGAATATAGAAAAATCGAAAAATTTTCAACTGAAAAATTTCAAATCTAAAAATTGAAAATTTTCACACTGAAAAAAAGTCGAAAAGTTGTAAACATTGCAATACCTATTGAAAAATTGAAAAATTAGATATAGAGAAATTGAAAAAGTAAAAATAAAGAAATTCAAAAATTAAAAATAGAAAATTTAAAAATCGAGAAATAAAAAAGCGAAAAATTGAAAAACTGTTTTTTTAAATATTATAGTCATTATAATAACCAGCGATCAAATAAAAAACACCACTATCTACTTCTCGATACTCAAATGTTTTCTGAACGTATGGCGTAGCTAGTCGTAATAATAATTTGAGATTAGTTCGATAGATCGAATAGTGACAGATTAGAGCAATAATAGAAGTGACAGAATGAGTTTGACACTGACAGATGACAGATGTACATTGTACGATGTCAGCTACGCCATACGTTCAAAAAACATTTGCTCATCGAGTAGTAACTAGACGTGTTTAATTTTAAAAATGAAAACTAAAAAAATTGCAGATCAAAAAAAATCGAAGAAACGAAAATTTGAAAAATGGAGTAACTGAAAAATCTGAAGTTAAAAAAATGAAAAATTCAAAAATCTGAAGTTAAAAATTGAAAACCGAATAGTTGCAAATCGTAAAATTCAAAAGTCCAAAATTACAGAAACGAAAACCTGAAAAAATTAAAACTGAAAAAACAAAAATTATAAAATCGAAACATTGAAAAACTGACTAATTGCAAAAATAAAGAAAATAAAAAACACACGAAAAATTGAAAATCCAAAAACTGAAAAATTAAAAATTGAAAAAATGAGAAACTGAAAAATTTAAACTTAAAAACTCGAAAAATTGAAAATCGAAAACCAAAGAAACAAAAAAAATGAAAAATTGAACAATTCAAAATTTCAATCAAAAAAGCTCGGAGAGTGTTATTTACGCCCATGATTTTGACTTTATAGAGGTTCTCAGAAAACAAAAATCGCAAAACTTTTTATAACTTCTCAAAAAAGGATTTGTTGGGGTACACTTCAGGGGCGAGGGAAGTTTTATCTAATTAACCTTCGAACATTTTTTTTTCTTGAAGACGCATTTTTAAAGAGTTAAGAAGGGTTTGAGATTTATTTAAAAAAATTTTAAATCGTTAGGTTTCCCAAAAAGTCAAAAAATTAATTTTAGTTACGGTTTTGTTATCTTCGTTCCTATGTCAATGCCAAATTTCAAAAAAGTTTTACACTAACAAAATAAAAAAAATACGAAGTCGCGGACAAAACTTAGTAACAAATATACAAAGAGACATAATTTGCATAAACATTTTCGGGGATTTTTGTATAATACAATATTTTTGGCTGAGCTATAGCCTGGTGCTCCAGAAGTAAAAATATAAATAAATTAACAAACGAAAATTTCATTTGTACGGAAAGATCTTTTGAGCATCGTTGGAAAAAGAGAAAGAAATTTTACTCATTTTAATGACCCGTTCTCTAGGAAACAAATAAAAAAGACATGAATATTTAATGTGAAATGGCTACCAGTAATTACGTTACTAAATACAGTTTTTTCAATATTTATTGAATATTCCTCCAAACAAGCCGGTACCGGTTATAAATTACCCGCCTGTTGCACATGATAATGACCAATAACTAAAAATCATAAAAATCGGTGACGGTTGGCTGGAAGGTGTGGTCGAATTCGCGCGAACTGCCCCATTACCCATTGGGCGGATGCGGCTCTGTGCATTTCTTCATGAATCACATTTCTGCCCCCTGCTGCTACAGTACGGTTTATCTAGTGTGACACGGGCTTCTTCCCCCCCACCCCAATATAAAAGCTTGTATTCGCCGGCCCGTCGCAGTTCCATCGCGATTCTTTGTTGGTGTTGGTGAGGTGACAAGTGCACGCAGGACAAAAACTAAAACAACTCCACAATTTAGTCATTTTTTATTTGGGTGGTAGACTTGTAGTGCAAAGTGTTTGATTTTTTTGTGTCAGGTTCCCGTTGTCTAAAGGATTTAAGGTATGACAGGATCGTATTGACGCGCCCCAGACCCATTCACACCCCAACACTGTTTCGAGTTGCCATCTTCAGCGACATTTTTTTCATTGTTGTTTTGCGTAAAAACAAAGCGTTTTTTTTGCCGTTAGTTTATGTACCGTGATGAAAACGTGAAATCCAATTTAATCCGTCTAGACTAGTGAACAAAAAGAAACCAAAAAACAACTTATTACCATAAAGACAATAGTGCTATCGTTCTTGCTTCTTAAAGAACACGATCTCCGGGAGATAGTCGGAGGCACGTCCTGAATTTATAATGTGTATTAGACGTTGCATGAATTTTTAATAAAAAGGAAACGCCCCTTGACCGGAAACCAATCGGAAAGTACTCTTGTATAATCGGAAACAATGCTTCTTTGTACCGGCGAAAATCAAGTAGTCGTTGCTAAATGTGACGTCCGTTTTTAATCAGACTGTACAATAATAAGGAACGTCAAACAAAACATACTCGTTTTAAATTCGACACACATTCGATGGATGTGATTTTTTTGTTGGTATATTGTATGATTCATTTCAGTTAAATGTTGTTTTCACATGCATCGAGTATTGATTTTATTTTTTGATTCACTAGAGTTAGGTACAGCGGAGAGAAAACGAACGTAACAATGGTTCAAAGTGACCATTGTGCACTTGCTTGTGTTAACTGATAACGATTTTTCAGTTAATAGAATTAATCTAGAGGAAAATTTGTAAACTATTCAACGTCGTATTTGACCTCAACCAGCAACTCATTATTTTTTAATAAGATCCATTGTACAGTCACCAACAAGGCAGTTAATTGACAAATAAATCACTCATTCCTATTCCAATAAACGTCAAAATAACCTCTAAAATTTACGAATTTGTAAAATAATCTTCACCGAGTAGTTAATAGTAAATTTTTGAACTCGTACAACATTCACCACTAAGTAGCTTAGGTAACGCCATTTTCATCCTTTCTTTCCATAAATGTCAAAAGTAAACTACCACTTTACGAAAACTCATTAAATTTAACCGTGTCGGACTTAAAACATCAAATTACCTTTCGCCATTTCAGTTACATCTTCCTTACAGTTAATGTCAAACCAATGGCATTTGGCATCTGTGGGAACAATTGTGGCATTTGCTTCATTTGTATTCAATAGGTTTCAGATGTGGTGAACCCGGCGCAAAGTTCTGCTTTTACATGTTTCACCGCTTGAATGAACCTCAGACATAGCAGGCCATTTTTAACTTTTTGCGTATACTTTTTAAATAAACGAACAGAAAATGCAAATATCACAGCTATAAAAAACGACACAAACAGCGGCTTTACGCTTTAATTCTGTCAACGATGATGAACGCGTTTTAAAAAATTCAAATGTTTGAATTTTTTCGTCGGAATGCCGTCGCCGATAGAGTTGATTAGCTTGAGAAACGACAATACTGTAATAGCGCGTCCGTCGTCAAACCATCGATGTATATATGTAATTTATGCGACAATAAAGCGTCCAGACAAATAAACTTGACCTTTTAATCGCCGTCACCATCTGCGGAATAAACTCGTTGCATTCGATGACCTTTGACAGTTTCCAGAAGCAAGAATAGACCAACTCCTACTTCTTTGTTGATTGATCAGAGATAGTGACCTTGAAGCGCGATGTCGTTCACCCAAGCACACTGCCAAGCCTGCTATTTTTTCTGCAATAACGCACCGATGCACCATTCGTGACGTCACTGAATTGTTCTTCCGTCAGTTTTAACATTGAGCATCGATCTCCATATTATGCACATAAACGGGTTCATTACCCAGTAACTGATTATCATTTAGCATTTTTAAGCCAGTTCACCTGAACTAATTGGCGGCCATTTTTTTTGCAAATTGTATCACGTGATCGGGGATTTCGGGATATTGCATTACGTGGTCGTAGTTTGATCCTGGATATCCGTCGGCGGCCTAGTTGTTATCTTTTTATTACGGTGCTGCAAACCGGTGTGCTAAAAAAAGCCGGCGTTAGCGGATAACCTCAAAACGGAAGAAAAGAAATGGTTGGTAACGCTCCTTCTTGTATCAATTATTCATGTAGGATTCCAGTGCGCAGCTTAAAAACACGAATCGATGCACGGAATGGTCGTAAAGCGGAGAAACACGAAATATGATGTACGGTAACCCTTGGCGGAAAGGGCGACTAAATTTAGGAGCCGGAAAATAAATAATCGAAGACTTCTAAGATTGATTCTGGCGGCTCGTAATGATTACAAAGCGTTCCGGAAATTCCCATGGGGATAAGTTTCGAGGTCAGACCAGATTACAATTTTGTCTTTGTGGATCCTGTGTGTCGCAGGAAATCTCAAATTTTCTGAAAATAAGCACGAGATTATTTCCTACTTTGGAGTAATTATACAGTAATTAATTGACTTGACCGTTAGTAGTGAACTTAAACTGCCTAGTAGATCGAGAACATCGAAGAAAAACAGACAATATAATTAATATCGTTTTCTTTTTAATTCTCAGAAAATCTTCACGTCTGAACTCTTGTCCATGGTGCTTAAAACCTCCTACAATCGTGAATTAATTTTTATTTTAAGCTTTAGTTTTAAAGTACGAAGACTCAACAAGAAAAAGTATTTTTATTTCACAACGAAAATAGCCATAGGCGTACTCAAACTGCCTATCCGCGTTACTCCTCATCCATATTCAGTCCTTGTTGCGAAGAAATAATCCCTGCGTTGTTTATGGCACGTCTGCAGCATAGCAAATACCGCATTTTTGGCGTGTTCAATCGATTATATTATTGAAAGGTTCCTACTACCGATATTTTTGCAAGTAGTGTAGATGGCCTGTGATTTTTTAAAACAAAATTTAAACTAAATATCAAGCGTGTTTTGCGTATTTCTTCACCGATTTCGTGATTTGGGGGTTTATAAGCGATTTAGATAGGCAAATCAGAACAGTAATCGTCAACGTGAACTCTCGGCCTTGATGTGCGCAGCCCCAGGTCAGCACTTTTTGGATTCCTTCACGGTGTCCGAGTCCTGCTAATAATTAGTTAAAAACTGAAATAAGATAGCCAGGTTTTCCTACTGTTGTTGTAATTCCAACTACTATATAGACTTCGCTTTTGGTGATATAATCAATTGTATTGAAATTTTGAAAAGAAAAATCTCGTGTTCAAAAAATAAAATTTTGACGCTATAATGTTACAGATTTTCTTGAAAAAAATACAAACGTACACTTGGCATTCTATTTAGAAGAACTCAAAATAGAATCTAAAACAAAACATTATTTCTATTTGCTGTAATAAATTTCTAAAGGGGGAGGAATATAAATCACTGCATAAAAGCATAATATTTTTATTTAAAAGCGGCATTAAAATCGTACTTTATTATCTGTTCGAGTCATAAAACCACGTTATATTGTTCAACTTTGACTCTGATTTGTGTTATTCAACCTATGAAGAATGTGCAACTCGTTATTGAAGGTGCCATGTGACAACTGTGAAGCCCGTTGTGGCAAAAATTATCGCCAATTTGCCACAAAAAATTTTTATTCTCGATCACTAATTGCCAATATTTTTAAACCATTGAAGTATTATATGTGAAGTATTTCTCGTGCTTCATGACCGCCAAAGTACGAAAAAATAGCTGTTTAATCATACCCACCAACAATGTGTTAGCGTCACTTCAAAATTTGGAAAAAAATCACAATAATTGTATAACAACAATTTATAATACAGTTAACTTTGAAATTGCAAAATCGAATGTTCTGAAATCTTGTAAGCGTTTTAAGATGATCGTAAGCATGGCTAATCGTTAATCAAAATGTATCCGTTTAAAAAAATTAATGACGTCATCTCAAAATTTTGCGGGATAAATCCTAACTAAAATATGCAAAAACTTATGACAATTTTTTTCATCCAATTAAAAATTAGACTCAGTTAAGAAAGAATTGTTCGAAAATAAATGTAACTTATTTTATCCATGATGATGATGATGATGATGAAATAACACGCCAACGACAATGAAATTCTCGTGGTTAGATATAATGGTAAAAAGCAAACTCTAACTGACTCTTAAAATGCATTACACGCTTCATTTTGCGCTAATTGGAATGTTTACCTCCCGTTGAATCTACAATGTTTTATGTGGTTAAACAAAGATGCGAAACAATAAATTCTCCAGCTTGCTGATTTGAATGAGACTAGTTTTCACCGATTATTATAAAAAATTTATGACCAATCAGTCTTACAACGAGCCGAAACCAATCGATTTATGTGTCGATTAAAAAATTAATTCTGAAAATTCGTGAGATGACGTCATCTACATATTGGTGGGGATAAGTATTATCATTTAGATTGTGTAAGCTAACACTAAACATAAAGTTAATAAATTTAGATAAAGTGTTATCGAGACAGTCAGTGATGGATCCATTCTTCATATTTGATGGCATTCTGTGTACATGGTAAAAAAAATAATATTTTGCAGTCACTAAGTTAATGTTGACTTTCTCATTTTATCTTTAATATAATTTTAAGGTCAGTTTAAAGTTTCAAGGGAAATCGGTTTTCAGCTGACAGAAAACCTACGGCTCCCCCCACTACCAGCCATTAAATGTCAAAAGAACATTGTTTCTTTCTGTGTTTCTGACAAATAATTAGATCAGCCACAGATACGTCCTATTTTCTAGACTGTGTACATGATGTTTAAGCAAATAATTAAGTTGAATTTGTTAAGTTTGTCGATTATTATGGATTATCTAATTTTTGTGTCATGATTTAGTATTACACTGTGCTTATCACTATTAAAAAAATTGGTCCTACGTTATTGAGACATAACTTCTGAAAAATGTTCTGATCAACATTTCAGCAAGGGCACGAATGTCAGTTCCGACACGTACAGCGTAATACTAAGAAAAATCAATCTAAACTCAAAAACCTATATCAAATAAGTACAATATCAATTAAAGTGTTATAAAAAATCACCGATTGAGTCCATAAATTTAA